ATGTCGCCATCTTTTCTTCTTCATTATTTTACAAGGTATTATACAGATTACTATACACGTAGCCCTATAGAGCAAATGCTTAATCTAAAGAGAGGGCGTTTGATCGTCTATTCAAATCGTAAAGAAATTTGACTTAGTAGCAAAACCCTATCCTTAGAGAAAGGGGATTTATAACATGACGATAAAGTACTGTAATGTAGTCTATACTCGTACAGTTACAGTACAATCTGACGCTAAAACATCAACTGTCAATACTCGCGAATACTAAGCGATACTAATGTCAGAAAAGTAGTCGTAGTAGTCATATAAATTTTTTTGATAAGTGATTACTGTGATCTTTATAAAAAGCGAATTTTTCCGGATTTGTGTCCGATATAGTTTTCGGATTCTGGGACCGGTCGGGTTTATTTTTAATTTATGTCTGGATTATAATTTTTCTGTTTTAATTTTTGGATTTTTGTTTGTGAAAAATATCGTAAGAGTTGATTTTTGAGATTTGGACTTTTTGTTATGAATTTGAAACTTTGGAATTTTATGACGTGACTTGAAGTCACATTAGGAGATTTAGTGAGGAAAATAGAAAATAAGATGGAAATTGGCAGAGGTTGTGTTGATTATTAGGTAATTAGAATGCTGTTTTTATGACTAAATCTTGATGTTTAAAGGTTGATTTTTAGACTTTTATGGTGTATTAATGATAGAAATTATGTTAGAAATGAAGTTTGATGTATTTTTACAGTTAGCTTGTTAGTTTTATAGTGTTTTGTAAGGGAATCGTAGGGTAAATTGTGTCTGAACTTTGAATGATTTTTGTTTTCTTAAATGGTGCAAAGTAGTTTTGTAAAACGGATCTTAAGAGCGATTGGTTAGCAAATGTTTAGTTTTAAATACCTCAGACGGCTCTGCGAAGCCTATAAATGATAGTGCAATTAGAAAATTTAGAGAGACAGTAGAAGAAGATTTTATTCGAAGAACTTGTTGAATTTAAAAGGCCTTCGGGGTCGAATTGTCGTAAGTTAAAACGTTCTTCTTTTTGAAAGGTTGTTTGGTCGTTGACAGTTTTTTTTTTGTCTGCCATTTATTTTAATAATACTTAAAGCTAAGTATTTGTAAGGTTGTTCGGTTTATACTTCTCTCCATTTTTGTTTTGAAATAAATTGTTGTTCGGTTATTTCCCCAAATTTTATTTGGTGTCAAAGTATTAGAGTTAAGTCGACCGGAGTGCAACGAAAGTAGAATCAAAGTTTGTTAAAGTTTTGTAGCTTGATCTCTACACTTTTCATTTCATTACATTTGCTTCAAAGACTCTACCAATCAGATTTTAGGTTATGTGTCACAGACTACTTCCTGACAAATTTACTTATCTAACATAAAGCACTTACTCTGAGTTGCTTGTACAGATTATTACCTTAATCTGTCGAAAGATCTAGTAAGAATATGTTACTGTTACTATAACGCCTAAGAACTACTATGCCCTTCTAAAAGGCTAACAATCAATAGACATGCTGTACTACAACCTACAAAACAGCTATATTCAGTGAACTCACTATTCACAATCACCTCACAAAATCAACTGGTTTAAACCAATAAATGTACTCATAAATCAACGTTTTACTAACAAAGAAATAACAGACACATCTTAATGAAGTAATTAGATATAAGGATAAACTTGTTTATAAAAAATAATCTTCTCTAAATTATGGACGTTATCACAAAGCCTTCCGGCTAGCAGCTGTATCACATTACGAATAGCGTTCATAGCTTTAATTTTCCAATAAACAAGAGTGATATTGATATAATTCCTACAGTTGTGTAGTAAAGGACTGAAACCAGAGTCCCTTATAGCTTTTAGTATGTAACTATCATTATTGCACTTTAGAAAATACCTAGAAAGTGATAGTGTATTTAAGTTTTACCCTAACAAATCATGATGTCGCCATCTTTTCTTCTTCATTATTTTACAAGGTATTATATAGATTACTATAGAAATAACTTAAGAGCAATCGCCTAATCTAAAGAAAGGGCGCTTGATAGTCTATTCAAATTGTAAATGAATTTGAGTTAGTAACAAAACCCTATCCATAGAGAAAGGGGATTTATTACATGACGGTAAGGTACTGTAATGTAAGTTGTAATCGCCCAGTTACCGCGCTACTTCATGCTAAAACATCAACTGTCAATACTAATGTCAGGAAAGTAGTCGTAGTTGTCATATAAAATCTTTTGACTAGCGATATGTGATTTTTATCAAATTCGGATTTTCGAATTTAGATTTCGAAACCGGTCGGATTTGTGTCCGACATAATTTTTGGAAAATGTTGTAAGAGTTGATTTTTGAAATTTGCACTTTTTGTTGTAAATTTTAAACTTTGGAATTTTATGACGTGATATGAAAGTTACATTAGGAAAGTTTAGTTAAGAAAATAGTAAATAAGATGGCAAATGGCAGAGGTTGTGTTGATTGTTAAGAGTTAGACTGTTATTTTTATGACTAAATCTTGATGTTTAAAGGTTGATTTTTAGACTTTTATAATGTATTAATGATAAAAATTATGTTAGAAGTGAAGCTTGAAGTATTTTATAGTTAGTTTGTTGGTTTTATAGTGTTTTGTAAGGGAATCATAAGGTAAATTGTGTCTGAACTTTGAATTATTTTTGTTTTCTTAAATGGTGCAAAGTAGTTTTGTAAAATGGATCTTAAGAGCGATTGGTTAGGAAATATTTAGTTTTAAATACCTCTGACGGCTCTGCGAAGCCTGTAAATGATAGTGCAATTAAAAAATTTAGAGAGAGTAGAAGAAGATTCTTTTGACGAACTTGTTGAATTTTGAAGGCCTTCGGGGTCGAGTTGTCGTAAGCTAAAACATTCTTCTTTTTGAAAGGTTGTTTGGTTGTTGACAGTTTTAAGTCTGTCGCTTATTTTATTAACACTTAAAGTTAAGTATTTGTAAGGTTGCTCGGTTTATACTTCTCTCCATTTCATTTAATAAATTGTTGTTCGGTTGTTTCCCCAAATTTTATTTGGTGTCAAAGTTTCGTTAAGTCGAACAGAGTGCAACGAAAGTAGAATCAAAGTTTGTTAAAGTTTTATAGCTTGATCTTCACATTTTTCATTTCATTACGCTTGTAAGTACAGCAAATCATAGCATTTCCTATACTCTAATACTGAAACACTGTGAGCAACAATAATTTCTTAAACTCTATATTTTAGGCAGCGTAGTGCAGTAATAACAATTAACATATTCAAGTAAACATGATATTTCGTATCAAATAATTATCCTTATTGTAATTTGTGATATATTGTAATTTAGCTTTCGCGAGTCACGGGCTATCAAGAATTCATAAAGTTACGTACATCGCGAGCGATATCCGTAATATTTGATTGCGTCATGCGTTGTTGAGTAGTGAATAAAAGTAGCCTGATTACTTAACCTACGGCTATTAAACTGGTTTTAAATCCTTATAGCAATTATCTCAGATAATCCGATAGTTGAGGTATCTCAGCGCCGGCATATTCAATACTAAACGGCAAGAAGTTGATGCATATATTTTTAATAGCATGTTCCGCTAAGAACACTATTTCATATTATAAATAGATCACGTGTAATCCGCATTAAGCTACCTTTAGTAAGTTCTTACGTGGGATTTGTAAGAACTAAATCGTAATAAGATATAAAATTTTCCAATTGTCAAGGATACTGAGATCAGCTACGAGATATTCTTAATTAAAGGCATGAACGAGAAAACGCCCCCTATCTTATAGAATTTCTTCTTGACTATAATCACTAGCTAACTACCGGCTGGTTATGCTTCGCTGGTGACTTACTTGAATTTTTTCGTAAATACTGGTAGTTATCTTGCACTGTATTCAGTAAAACTTGTATATTAGTTCAAGATGCCGCACTAACATTAAACCAACTATCGCATGGCTTTATTTATGAATACAATTTAGATACTCAGCAATCCAGCCACTGCACTTCGACACGCAGTTAATAATTAATTAATTAATTATTCACTACACAGCTACTGTTTTCCTATAATTATAGTATAATATATATGACGACAAACGCGATTTAATTATGCTAGAAAACATAAACAAGTAAACTGTGTTTGATTTTACATTTTTACTGAATTAGCTAATTGGTGTCTTGAAGGCGCATTATCTCGTTATTGTTGAACAAATGAACGAGTAAACGTTTGTTCTGGGTTCCAATTTAAGATTGTTGTTCTTTCTTTGTGTATACTGTAGAAATCTACAATTTTAAGCTAAACTACGATTATACTAATTTAGTAATTTCAGGAATCTAGGGTATAATTTATCTTTATTATTTGAGTTTGATTCCTAGTTTAATTTGGAGAACTTTTAGAATGATAATTGGAGAATCTGATACTAACAACTGCTCTACGAAGCATATAAAGGGTGGCGTAGTTCGATAATTTAGTGCAGTTAAAGACAGAGAAGACAAGAAAAATCTAGGATAATGGTGAGTTATCTCATTAATATATAGTTTGGTTGGTTGAGGCAGTAGTTCTGCCCGTATTTTGTTACTCCTTTAAGATATTTTGCTAAGATTGTTGCTAATGTTATAATAAACTGGTGTTTTTCTCCTAATTTATTTTATGTGGACTTCAATTGTTGTTATTTACTTAGTTTTTTTCATCCAATATTACTCTACAATAAAATATGACGACGAGCGCAATTAAATTAGGCAAGGAAATATAATCAAATAAATGAGCTTGATTTTTACATTTCTAACTAAATTAGCTAGCTGATGTCTTAAAGACATATTATCTCATTGTTGTTGAACAAATGAACGAGTAGGCCAGCCACTTAGTTTCGATAGTCATCTATCGTTTATGTACGGTCTAATTGATTAATTTTAGACTTTTATATGTTAATGTCTATATGACGTAATTTAATTGCGGTTATTAATAACAAAGAACAGGTAATACCTATAAAAACGAACTCGTAAACTCTGTCAAGATCAAATTAGGCGGAAATGGATTCTTTGCGATATAAAATACTCTCCCGATTGCACAATAAACGTTTTCAAGATAGAATAGATCCTGCATATGAATTTGATGTTAAAGTATTCCACCTCGACGATGAACAAGAATGCAAAAATTTATTTAGTAAAATACAAGGATGTATCAAAGAGGTAATAAGGAAACACTTTTTTATTTTTCTACTCAAATTCAAGCAAACCCATTGGATGACAACAGTGATTAAGCAAGGTTCAGGGAGTCAAAAAACAAGAGCTTACTTTTTTAATTCCCATCTAGACCCCGGTCGTTTACAACCAAATAAATTTTGCACTTGTGAAACATGGATAATAGATTTCATTCAAGCCGTGGTAGTTACATCTGTATTTGGAAGAGATAGGTATAGGGACAGAATAGATGAATTGGTCAAAATCAGCATGATGAATAAACAAGATGTTATCAGAAATACAAAAATTAGGGAAAAGTATTACCATCGTTTCTTAGATCATCAACTAAGTGTTTCAACCATTTTTTCAGATTATGAAGAATTATACACGTACGCAGTCTTGTTGCCTACTAACCTTGGCAACCCTTCAGAATTTAAGAAAAGAATAAAACCCCATAGATTACGTATAGAAAATTTAAACTTGAACAAACATTTTATTATTATGCCTTTACTTACTAATGCAAGGGATAATATTTCAATGGTGATACTTCAAAATGGATCAGAGGAATCAATCGATGTCTTTGTAATTCATTCGCGTGAAGGAGATCAAGGTCGTGATGAGGGCATCATAGAAACAGATTTCGGTCTTCTCCAAAGTATCCTTGGCGAACTTTTCCATTCATATAATCTGGTTAGATTATCAGTCAATATGGAAGACTGGAAATCTGATCAAACATGGATTCCAGCATCAATAACAGCCATTATGGAAGCAGTGATTATTGTTTATGACTGTACAAAATTCATAGATATGCCACCGAAATCACCATTATTACTTACTCATGTGACAGCGGAGATGGAACAATGTATCAAAGCCATTACTGTAAGTGGTAAGGCTAATGACAAGAAGGAACTAGAGCCGACCAGAGAAGAAATTCATGATGAAGAATGCATACAAGCTGAGGACAGGGCAAGTGAAAATGAAATGAACTACCAGCTAGACATTGATAACATTGGATATTTGCTATATACAAAATGCAATATCGATGATCAACAAGATGATATCTTACCAGTAATGGATATTAACATAAAAGATAATCCTAGGCCTTTAGATACGAGTAATCACATCGATAGCGCACTAAAAGATATAATGTCCGCAGTAGATTTTCAATTTGAAGATGATTCCATCTCTTTGACGAGTTCAGATATTTCCATTGAAAATCATTCTAGCAATATGAAGAAATTAGTAACGCTATCACAGAGAAGTAATGTCCGTTTTACCATTCTACCCATCAAATTTGAAAAGACCCATTGGGCTATATTGTTGATTAAAAGGATAGTTAAGAAAGATTCTTCAGAGAATTTTATAACATTCTTTTTTGATCCACAGGGCCGAGATAAAAATAAACTTGGCGCCGTAATATCTTATTTAGAACTAGAGAGGGTTAATAACCTTTCAATAAAGCTATCACAGGAAAGTGGTAAAAATCTCGGTACATGGTTAATAGTAGCAGTAAAAGTTATCATGCAAGAAGCCGAAAAAATGTCGAATGAGGAATTGATGGCAGAGATTGAACGTAAGCATCGAGAAGTAATAGAAATCC